GGGGGATACACGGTTAGGTGTCACATAGGGGGGGGGATACACGGTTAGGTGTCACACATTTCGGCTAAGCTACAATTGTATACAGTTTTATCATTTACATTATCCATCATCAGCACATATCGTACTGAAATGTGACGTTTATTGTTTGTTGAATCAAACGAATAATATATGAAGAAGAGTTATTATAAGCTGGACGGTGTTGAAAAATATTTGGAGATTTGTATTTACTTATTTATTTATTTATATCTCAATTCATCGCATAAAACATGCATAAATACATAAATTAACATTAAAATACACATACGTATTTATCAAAACTATAAAAAGCTAAATTCACTATTGAATTATTAGAGACGAGTTATATGCAATCATACATCAGTAAATTATTTATGATTCATCTAAAATATTAACTTATAAATCAACCATATACTTGCTATTACACATTCATCATGCGATAAAGCAGTTAGAAATATGATAATCAGTATAAATATAAAATCTATTCATGTCATAAAATGACAGTAATTATGATTATATATTAATTTAACAGAACATATATAATAGAAAGCGTTCATAAGGTAGCCCAATTTGAGTTTAATTGAACTAGTGACGTCATTAACCTGAACTGATGTATCGTAAAAATGAACGAATGATGTTGCTACTGAAGATAATAAGACAAGTCTTTATAACTAATGGTGACATAAGACGCGGGCCTGTATTCATGAAACCGTTGTTAGGCTGAAGCATGGGTTTTCTGCTCAAACCGACTTTCTTGTAACTCATTTAAATCACGTCAAACGATCAAAAAGTCAAATGTAAACGTTGAAAACAGTTTTGGCTTGACATTGACTAAATCAAATTTTGTTATTAATTTATAAACGGAACAAGAAATTCGGCTTGAGCACAAAACTCTATGCTTGAGCATGAGAACGGTTTCATGAATACGGGCCCCGAACTACAAATTGCATTAATATAAACTAACGACGCTATAAGAACAAGTAAAATGCTAAACTAATTACGTCATAAATGCGATCTTTGAACTTAAATGCGAGATCTGCGTGGGTTGTCAATCTCTGTAATATATACGTCTCTGTTTAATCTAATGAAGTCATGAACGCCGAACTTACGATACCATTAAAACACGTCCTTTGTGTCTTTTAATGCTGACTTTGAACACGAAAATGTTAAATACTTTAGTGTTTACCTTCGACTGGACGTTAAACTGGCCAACGTCTTTGATGGAAGCGTCGGACTGGAACGTGTACTGGTACTCATATCCACGTTGGAAGTTGATAAAACGACCACTTACAACACACACAACCACACAAATCCATGCTAGGAGAAAAGGAATTTGTCGGGGACGGAAACATCCCGGCAAATCCATCTCTCACAGAAATAATTTAGATTCTATCTCCAGTGTTTTTTTTCTTGGTTATAATTGGATATATATATATGTGTCCAATGTCCGTTTGACGTGTGCTCCTCTTCCTGTACCGTTAACTACTGGCCGAGTATAGGTAGGTATACAGGTATACAGGGCCCTGGTATAGGTACACCCCAGCTTTACAATCAGTGTCAGTGAAACGTTTCCTACTCCATATAATGGTTTTCCTTCCAAAATATGAATATTTATCTTCAATGTTGCAAATTTCAGTTCTGCCCTTTATCAGATAAATCAGAGATTATAAAACAATCTAAGGACTATTTTAATTCCAGTTCTATCAATATCGCAATACAATACAAAGATGGCAATACTTTAACTATCATGTCACGTTTATGTTACGGTTGGGCGACGAACCGTTAACTATTAAAGGTTTGCTGGTCGTTCCAATCCGGATGTGGAATACTGCAGCTTAACTGCAAGTAGCGTACTTTATAGATAATAAACAAACAAATAAAACACCTCTTTGCAGTTTTTCTTTTCAACCGAGCTTTATTTTTTTTAATTAAATTCACAATTACGGTAAAAGCATGAAACGGCATAGCAAAACAGTCAGAAGTGATATATAAACCCTAGTGGTGGTTTGAATTGTAAGTCTACAAAGCTATTTATTCTACTAGGGACACCTGATTGGTGATAGATAGCGGGGAACCGATTGGCCGTCTATAAATAATCAATAGAACTGTGAATGACATTTTTAACAAACATATTAACCTATCGCGTCTTTACAGTAATGTGAAACAGTCGCATAGACTGATGAGAGATAGGCGAGAAAACCACCAGAGGTAGACTGTGATCGATTCGACAAACTTCACTACGACACAAACTCACAGACGTGTCTATACCTATCGTTTACGGGACCATCAATTATGGTCTAATTTATAACCGTCACTTTTAATTTCTACGTTCACTTTCATTTTGATCAACAAATGTTCCATTGTTGCACTTCTGTCAGTCTTCCTGTTATACACAATAACTCTACAAATGTATTCTGTCAATGATTTTGAAAAAAACTTTGAAGAAACTTAAAAACGAATACTGTTTTCATTTTTAGCTCACCTGGCACGAAGTGCCAAGTGAGCTTATGACGTGGTGCGGCGTCCGTCTTCCGTCCGTCCGTCGTCCGTCGTCCGTCGTCCGGTGTCAATATTTTACTTTAAACGACTTCTTCTTAATAACCGAAAGGCCTAGGGTGTCGATATTTGGTCAGAAGCAAACTGGGATGAAGGGCTACAAAGTTTGTTAAAATTAATGACCTTCACCCATTTTCATGGTCACAGGGGTCAAATATGTTAAAAACTTTAAACATCTTCTTCTCGATAACCAAAATGCCCAGGGATATGTTATTTGACCAGTAGCATGCTTGGGTGAAGGGCTACCAAGTTTGTTGAAATGAATGACCTTCAATTATATTCAAGGTCACAGGGGTCAATTGTCTTAAAAAAACCTTTAAACAACTTCTTCTGAATAACCAAAATGCCCAGGGTGATGAATTTTGGCCAGTAGCATGCTGGGGTAAAGGGCTATCAAGTTTGTTCAAATGAATGACCTTCACTTATATTCAAGGTCACAGGGGTCAAATATGTGAAAAACATTAAACAACTTCTTCTGAAGAACCAAAATGCACAGGGTTATGATATTTGGCCAGTAGCATACTGAGATGAAGGGCTACAAAGTTTGTTCAAATGCATGACCTTCACCCATATTCAAGGTCACAGGGGTCAAATATGTTAAAAACTTTAAACAACTTCTTCTCAATAACCAAAATGCCCAGGGTGATGATATTTGGCCAGTAGCATGCTGAGATAAAGGGCTACAAAGTTTGTTCAAATAAATGACCTTCACCCATATTCAAGGTCACATGCGTAAAATATGTTTAAAACTTTAAATAATTCTTCTGAATAACCAAAATGCCCAGGGTGAAGATATTTAGTCAGTAGCATACTAGGATCAAGAGCTACCAAGTTTGTTTAAATGTATGACCTTGAATCATATTCAAGGTCACAAGGAGCAAATATGTTCAAAATATTTAAACAACTTGTTCTGAATAACCAAAAGGCTCAGGATGTTGATATTTAGTCAGTAGCATGCTGGGATCAAGGACTACTATGTTTGTTAAAGTGAATGACTTTGACTTATATTCAAGGTCACAGGGGTCAAATTTGTTTAAAATCTTTAAACGACCTCTTCTGAATAACCATGGGTCCCAGGATGTTGATACTTTGCAAGTTGCATACTGAGATGAAAGGCTATAAAATTTGTTCAACATAATGACTTTGTTCGACTTTCAATCACAGGGGTGAAATGTTTAAAAAAAAAATTAACAGGGCCTTTTGAATGAATTTTAATAATAAATACTGATATTTTGCCTGTAGATTTATTTTAGATCACTATTAAGGTTACAAGTGTGAGATTTATACCAGGTGAGCGATGCAGGCCCATTGGGCCTCTTGTTCATTTGACGTTTTGATCGTTTTACATGATTAAATTGAGTTACAAGAATGTTGATTTGAGCACAAAACCCATGCATGAGCATGATAACGGTTTCATGAATACGGGCCCAGGTCTTCGTCCCATGTAAATTCATGACCAAAAGTCTTAAATTAGTATCGTCTTCTGAGAAAAGACTAATTTTGACCTTTTTGTACTAGATATTAATGACCCAGTGTCCCAGTTCCCAACTTTCAACTTTCCCGATATTCAGTAACATACAAAACCTTTATAATGTGAAACCAACATCGCCGTTTATTATACAATCATTTATTTAGACCTATTTGAATCCTGTATTGGGCGGTATTTTTCTTACTTCACAATTCCTTAGTAGAACTGCGGGACAATACTGGTTAAGTAGCGCCGGCCTTGTTGAAACTTAACACATTACCGACTAACGTCAACAGCTTCAGTGAACCTGTTTATTATATAATTAAATATCAAGCTGTATTGTCAGTTCGGGTATTGTTCCCCTATTATCATCGTTAGTAATGCATAACAATACATTTTTGTACTTGGCCATGGCGGTGTTAAAACAAATTATTCGTCCCAGAGACTGCGCCTAACAAATGTATACGCCCAGTCACATAAACTAAAATCTGGACTATTCATTTGTTTACGTATGTGAATTTCAATTCAACTTTCTCCTTTTTGTATAAAGTAAACAACATATAGAATGAATTATGTTTATATCCTTCAATCAAGAAATGCTGAAAATGATGTGAATAGTAAATTTACTATTTCAGTGGGACAGCAGACATTTGGTAAAATGAACGGTTATCTTATAAATCTCCTTTAAGTGACCATAAAGCTTATATTATTATTATCATCAAACCTTTTCAGTGACACTTCTATACAAATATTCAATCTTGAGCTATTTAGGAATTATTTATTCTGAATTCCAACGAACGGAAAATCAAACAGACATGAGTTTACTTTAATAAATAACACGATCAGAAAATATCCCGGATTCGTGTTTGTTTTAAATATTGAGGTACTATAAGTCTATGTTAAGATAATGATTACGAAGTGAGTGTGTTATATCATAATCATAAGTGAGGTGTTCTTGGCCCAGATTATATAAGTAAAATATATAAACCAATGCATGTGTTACTTAAGGCATTGTAATTATTGTCTATGTTCAGTACTGTACAATATAATATAAGTAAATTATACTTATATAAGATATCTTATAAAGTAGCTAAGATATCTCATTAGGTATATAAGATATCTCATAAGGTATATAAGATATCTCATAAGGTATATAATATATCTTATAAAGTATATAAGATATCTCATAAGGTATATAAGATATATCATAAGGTATATAAGATATTTCATAAGGTATATAAGATATCTCATAAGGTATATAAGATATTTCATAAGGTATATAAGAAATCTCATAAGGTATATACGATATCTCATAAAGTATATACGATATCTTATAAAGTATATACGATATCTCATAAGGTATATAAGATATCTCATGAGGTATATAAGATATTTCATAAGGTATATAAGAAATCTCAGAATGTATATACGATATCTCATAAAGTATATACGATATCTTATAAAGTATATACGATATCTCATAAGGTATATAAGATATTTCATAAGGTATAATAGATATCTCATGAGGTATATAAGATATTTCATAAGGTATTTATAAGATATCTCATGAGGTATATAAGATATTTCATAAGGTATTTATAAGATATCTTATAAAGTATTTAAGATATCTGATAAGATATATATAAGATATCTCATAAGGTATATATAAGATATCTTATAAAGTATATAAGATATCTCATAAGGTATATATAAGGTATATATAAGATATCTCATAAGGTATATAAGATATTTCATAAGGTATATATAAGATATCTTATAAAGTATATAAGATATCTCATAAGGTGTATAAGATATTTCATCAGGTATATATAAGATATCTTATATAATTATAATTTAGTTAAGTACTGCATCAACAACTTGGCTTGCCATAGTTCACGGTTGTAAATTTGACGGACTAAGATCAATATAGACAATCGTTCGTTCTTCAAGTCAATACCATAAAATGTGGTACATAAATCATGCACATGTACTCTAGTGCTGTCTCGTTGGGCGTATTTCTTTGATAAAAACTTTTCCAAGTGACACTCAACCACATAACGCGTGTTTATCAAGCACGGCCACTGACTACAGGGTACATAGAGACCAGGGGGTGTTTTACCTCATTCTGTAGTGAAATCCCCGCTAACCGAGAACATTCTGATTGATGCTTTAAAATGGTCAACAATGTTAGTTTTCCCGTCAAACAAATACTGCGGTTAGCTATCACAATCACAAGAAGTTGATATTCAGCTGAACGAAACATGCAAGTACATTTATGTCTGGAACACTGCATACAAGAATGTCATCAGAATACAGATTGTATAACAGAACAAATTAAATATGTAATAATGCTTTCTGCTGGGAAAAAGTGAATTCAAATCCGAGTCCAATATACTGTGATTTGATGTCTAAACGTAATATTATAGATGGACTGTTTACTT